GTGACCCGACTATTCATAGTAGGAAAATTATTTTTTTCATAATACCTTTGGACCTTATCATAGTTAATACCAATGGTTCATGTTTATTACTTAACCAAACGTTCACTCGAATTTTATATTGTTAATCTGTAGGATAAGTATTAAAAATCATTGTTTAACTTATTTAATCTCCGGACTGTTTACTAATTTGACCATTTTAACACTCAAATCTAACTAGAAATGGCAAATCAGATTTGGAGTAGGCCAAATATTATGGAAAAAAATATTATAAAAATAGTACTGTAATTGCTTTTTTTTTAGTTACAATTATAGAAAAAGCAACATTATTACTTTGAATTTGCAAACATCATACGATCTAGGCCCTAATCCACTTGACTTTAACTTGATCAAAACACACTGAATTTGTATATAGCGCATGGAGTTATTGTAGTTTTAGAATCCACTATGTTTTATTGAGGACATTGTATCAGTTCGTTATAGAAAGAGTTAAACTGTACAAAGACCTTACATACATAGACAAACTGATAATGGTAATAAAATTCAGTAGTAATGTTCAAAGTATCTCTTGATTTGTCAATGTTTTTCGAAGAACGTTCTCAGGTAAATTGAATTAACCAGTCAATCAGACTAATATTTGTCTTCACAATGTTTACGAATTCACCAAGAACACCCTGAAAAATTTGCTCAGCAAGAGTCTACCTAATCATCAACATTAAAGTCACAAAGAAAATGGATATATACTACGTATAATTTGTTTTGTTAAAAGCGAAAATTAGGTTTCGTTAAGTTAAAATTTTGAGTTGCAGACGATTTTTAAGTTTTTTTTTCCTTGAACTTGCGTTACTATTTAATTGGCTGCTCAGAACTTTTCGGATAGTTATAATTAATCCGGGGTAGCAATAAGTTGACCAGGTTAACGAGTCTTATATGGGTTACCGTTTGACTCATATACGGGTACTATCTCTATACGATGTTTCATTTGAATATAAACTCGATTCTTCAATCATGTTAAAAAAAACAAAGTTAAAAATTATTTATTATATTCGAATTCAAAGATTTATTATCACAATAACAAAGTTAAACTTTTTTATTACATCAATAATAGCTTTAAACATATTTAGAATTTATAATACAAAATTTAATTATCGATATATTGTAATTTTATTAATAAAATATTTTTGCACCGAAAACATTTTGTTTATTGAAATTAATTAAGTTGACATCGCTAATAAGATAAATATAATTCGTAAATTACGCAATTTAAATAAACGTATAAAAATAGAAACTTTTGAGGAATAAAAGAATTGAAATTTTGAAAAAAAAACGAGAGTATGAATGACACGATAGTAATTTAACAAGTTTTTCATCATTACCTTGCTAATTTCGTTCGCGTAGATCGGAGAAACTTCACAGGGTTTTTTTTGGATTCCTATAACAAGAGTATATAGAGATACGTGAGCAAAAGATGTTCGTCATTATAGGGAAGTTCATAGCCAATCTTCCTCGAGAGTCAGCAGACCCTATTCAAAAAATCTCATAGGGGTTTAAATTACACACCCCGTTTTTTAAGACGGGGTGAAATTTACCGTTTCACCCTATGTCCCGTAATATTTTATACAATCACTTAGTTAGAAAGGAAGAACGTTCACAGTAGGCCGTCCACTGTACGTCAAGTCTGGTTACTTGACTAGTAACTTTCGCAAACTGTGGCCACGACGCGCTTCCAGTTCCTTTCTAACTATTAAAAGCAATATGCAAAAATACTAACCTGATTCTGAAAACTAGGTTTATCCAAAACACTAGTTTAATACGCGTAAAGGTCTTAAGGATCGGGTTTCTGTTTAATACGCGTTTATTAATAAGAAAATAGAAAATATTAAAAGTATTAAAATGTCCGAAAGATTGAAATTTTTAATTGGTTTTATACACGTGGTTTTTTACTCCAATTAACCAATAAAAATCGAGAAAATCAAATTTGCTATAAAAATTTTCTACGTATAGTAATTAATATAATTTGTTACGAGAACTCTTCCTTTATTAACTGAAATAAAAAGATCTCTCAAATATATATCTCTATACTAGACGTTAATTACAATACTTTCGCACTATACTCATCCCATAATTAGTTTATAACATATACTTCTTAAGAACTTTGATGGATGCAGAAACGCAGAATTTGAACATGAAAACGTCCATTTGATGATTAAAAAAGAATTCCGAGTAAAAGGTGTTTTCCTGGAGATCGTTACCATCTTGTAAAATTATGAAAAGTTGCTATGAGGTTTACCGTATATAAAGATTATATATAAAAAAAGCGAATAAAAATGTGTTTTGCCCGATTTTAAGTTTCGTGGATGGGAGGTAAGCATGTTTTTGCTGTATACAAAAAAATTCTATTCAACTCCAATTTCACATCTGTCTATACTAGAAAGGAAAGGAATTTAAAACCAAAATAAAGATTGGATTAAGGGCGTTCTCAAGCGCCTTAATTAATAGATCAAAAAGTGTCGGGGAATAATTTTACTTAGTGGAAATATTTTTAGCGGGTCAATTGAATATTGCTTAGTTTATTAAAGTTTAACATTACCATGGGCCTTCTTTCTTGGCATCAACGAATCATTATTTTATTACTTATATTAAAGTTTTTAAAATATTGGGAACCTCAAAGACAAATTCAATTATTCCGTCAAAAATTCTTTGTTAGATTACAGATTAAAAACCTAAAACCGGTGAATTCTGGGTTGACGTTTTTCTATATTTAACTGATGACGAGAGTAATAGGAGCAGCCGAAGTTGATGCTTCACTAGGTTGTGTTCGAAGAATAGTGGCATCTATTTTTTCGTGTTGGACCGTTTTTTTTTATTCTTTATTTTTCGCTTTTTATATTTAAATATATAACATTTATAATACAGTGGTGTAATAGAATACATAATTTATTGGAAGCATCAACCTAGGTATGATTAGCTAGTGATCGTAATAGCGATAGTGCACAACCATTTTTATATTTAAAAAATTTTTAGCTAAAAATTTTATATGCAAATTATAAAGTTTGCTATTTACAAGTGATCGTAATGGTGCTCATTTACTACAACCAATTAAAATAGAAATTGTAATCAATGCTTGAGCAGTTCTTTATTGATCTCTATATTAAATGTCACCGTCAAAAAATAAAGGACATTTATATTATACTGTACTGTAATTTCGCTATCATTGCTATTGCTATATACAATTTTATCGCTATACAATTTATCTTAATAATTTTATATCATTTATAAATTTAATTATAAATCCATTCATCGATCATATCATTTCGAACATTTCGATTTATTAAATCTTCTGTATTATAATCCAGATTTCCAAGACAATTGTAGTTTCTACAAGATTACTGTTTGTTTGCAATTTACCAGAGAAAAATGTCGAATTAGTAACGTCTGATCTAATTTGTTTAATGATCTAAATAGTAGTAATCGGTTCTGGTCAAATTTGTAGATAAATTTGCCGGATTATGGTATTAAAAACTCTGAACTTGGCCAAATGATCTGCAAATTTGACCAGAGTTATAAATAATCGGTTCAATGGAATTTTTTTGAGATTTCGTAGTAGTTAAAGTTCCAGCGGCACTATTAATTTTACTTCCAGTTGCCTTCCAGTGACCTTCCAGTGATCATCCAGTGACAACACTGATTTAGATCATTAAACAAATTAGCGCAGACGATATCAATTGATTCGTTAACTTTAAGACTTTGGACACAATAACAAAATATGCTACGAGAACCTATATTGCTACTGGTTATATAATACGACCAAATTTTTCTCTTGGTCGACCAACATTTTTACGCTTATGATTAATATATTGATCTTGCTGTTCTGAATGTCAGCTTGCGATGATGTATTTGAATATAAATTCGATTCTTCAATCATGTTAAAAAAACAAAAATTATTTATTATATTCGAATTCAAATATTTATTATCACAATAACAAAGTTAAACTTTTTTATTACATTAATCATAACTTTAATTATATTTAGAATATTTAGAATTTAGCTTATAATACAAAATTTAATTATCGATATATTGCAATTTTATTAATAAAATATTTTTGTACCGAAAAAAAGAATGCTAAGATATTATATTTAAGAATTTTTTATGAATATAATTTGTAAATTACGTAATTTTAAATAAAATATAATAAACTAGGAAAATGAAAACAATTGAGGAATAAATGAATTGAAATTTTGAAAAAAAAAAAACGAGAGTATGAATGACACGATAGTAACTTAACAAGTTTTTCATCATTATCTTGCTAAAAAACTTCACGCGAGTTTTTTTTGGATTCCTATAACAAGAGTATATAGAGTTACGTGAGCAAAAGATATTCATCATCATAGGGAAGTTCCATAGCCAATCTTCCTCGAGAGTCAGCAGACCCTATTCAAAAAATCTCATAGGGGTTTAAATTACACACCCCGTCTTTATTTGTTCTTTAAGACGGGGTGAAATTTACCGTTTCTGTACCCTATGTCCCGTAATATTTCTACACAATCACTTAGTTAGAAAGGAAGAACGTTCACAGTAGGCCGTCCACTGTACGTCAAGTCTGATTACTTGACTAGTAACTTTCGCAAACTGTGGCCACGACGCGCTTCCAGTTCCTTTCTAACTATCTTAAAAGCAGTATGCAAAAATACTAACCTGATTTTGAAAAACTAGGTTTACTTAAAACACTAGTTTAATACGCGTAGAGATTTGAAGGATTTAATTTTTGTTTAATACGTATATATATTAAGAAAATAGAAACTGAGGAATTGAAATTTTGTTTAATACGTGTATATACGAAACTATTGAAGGTCTTAAGGATCGGATTTCTGTTTAATATGCGTATGCTAAGAAAATAGGAAATATTAAAAGTATTAACGTTAATTGTTAGTACGCACGTATTGTACTTGCATAATACCAGTAGTATGGCAATTAGATCACGCTTATCACGTGGAAAAAAACGATGACTCAATGTGATAAATCAACCGCGGCAAAGCCACAAAAATTAAATCGAAGTCAGCAACCGACTTTTATACTTTTTTATCTTCAATGATGGAAGAACACGACGTAGAAGGAACCCAGCCTTCTAAAAAGGCATTAAAAAAGTTAGAAAAAGAGAAGGAAAAAGAACGAAAGAAAAAGGAACGCGAGCAAAAAGAGGCCGAAGAAAGAATTCGTAGAGAGGCTGCAGAAGTAAGAAAAAAAAAATAAATCAAGATCCTATTTTACGTTATGTCATTAATTGACCTTTTATTAATACAATTTGATAGAATTATGGCTCAGAAAATTATGGCAAACTTCCTTTAAACAAATCACAAGAGAGGACAGGTATGATTCCTAAATTCAGGATAGCAATAATTATATTGACTTAAAATTAGTATAATTTTCTCTATAGGTGTTCAACGAACTCGAATTATTGATATAAACGCTAGTCGTGCTGGAGAAACCGTTAGTATCCGAGCTCGTGTGCATACTTCACGTGTAACTGGTATGTGTTATTTTAGTTACTCCGCGAATAATTATGTGTATTACAACATTACAGTATTGATTATAATTCGCGTTTTTAGGTAAAATCGGTTTTTTCGTCTTTCGACACCAAGATTCTACGATTCAAGGAGTTCTTCAAGTTGACGAAAAAGTTGTTAGTAAAGGTTTTGTCAAGTTTGCTGCCAAGTATATATAACGTTTTTTCTTTTAATTCGTTTTATAACTTGGATTATATTATATTAATTATAATAAAATGACACCGGTTAGTGTCCCGGATGAATCAATTGTCATTATTGAAGGTGTTGTAAGTAAACCAAATGAAGAAATAAAGAGCACTACTGTGTCCGATGCCGAATTACAGATAAAGAAGGTTATTACATTTTCATTAATTAGCTGTTATTTCAGAATTCGTAATATTTTATTATTAATATTAATCTTTAATATTTTTCAGTTTTATGTGGTTCACGAAACTCTCGGCCGTCTTCCATTTTCTTTAGAAGATGCATCGAGATGCGAAGAGGAAATAAACAAAGTAGGATCTAGAACAATTATTTGTTGTTTATTCGCGAGAATTACCTATAATTATTTTATTTTATTCAGGAAGATTCTCAGTTCAGTCGCGTAACTTTGGAAACCCGATTAAACCACCGTGTTGTAGATCTCCGTGTAAGTTCATCTTCATCTATTAATTTTTCAAACGCATGATCAAATATCAGAGTTATTCATTTTGAAATCTTGAGAATTGCCCATATTTTATTTGATAAAAAATGTTTTTAGCTAAAGTTTAATCTTGGCTTAAAACCATAGCTACGAGCTCATTTAGACATTTAATTAAGTTATCAGAAAAATTTTTATTATATTCTAGTGTTGTCAGTGCCTGCATACTCATTAATTATAATATCATTATCATCACTATTATATCATTATTAATCATATATAGACTACTGCAAATCACGGAATTTTCAGAATCCAGTCTGGGGTTTGTCAATTGTTTCGCGAATTTCTCTTATCAAAATCATTTATCGAAATCCATACTCCAAAGATAGTTGGTGCATCTAGCGAAGGCGGTGCAAATGTGTTTGCTATAAAATATTTCAAAGGTGAGACTATATATTATTTTAAGTTTCTAGTATTATTATACATCTTTCCTAAATATTATGCTATACGAGCTTTTAGGCAGTGCATATTTGGCGCAATCACCTCAATTATATAAACAAATGTGCATTTGTTCCGACTTTGAACGTGTATTTGAAATAGCCCCTGGTAGGTATATAACATTATCGTATATTGTAAGTTTATTAACTCTTCAATATTCTAATTTATTTCCTTTTAATGTAGTATTTCGTGCTGAAGACTCTAATACCCATCGTCATATGACTGAGTTTGTTGGTCTCGATTTAGAGATGGCCTTTGAAGAGCATTATCATGAAGTACTTGACATCCTCGATGAATTATTTGTTTTTATTTTTGATGGTTTGAAGACTAGATTTGCTTCTGAGATTGAGACAGTAAAACGACAATATCCATCAACCAACTTCGAATACCTTCCAAAAACATTAAGGTTGGATTTCAAAGAAGCCGTTCAATTATTAAGGGATCACGGTATCGAAATGGAAGATTATGATGATTTAAGGTTTATTTTTCATTTTTTTTTTTTTTTTTTTTTTTGCTTTATTCTGTTTTTTCAAGACTTTATTTGCAACTAAAATAAATTGCATCTAGCACTGAAAAAGAAAGATTTCTTGGAAAATTGATCAAAGAGAAATACAACACCGATTTTTATATTATTGATAAATTTCCATTAGCAGTTCGTCCGTTTTATACAATGCAAGATCCTTACGACAAGGTATCCGTTGTTTTAATAATTATTTTTAAAGGCTGATAAGGCTGATAATAATTTTCTCTTTTTTCAGAACTATTCAAATTCTTACGACTTCTTTATGCGTGGGCAAGAAATTCTCTCAGGAGCACAACGTATTCATGACCCTACATTATTGGAAGAGCATGCCAAAGAACTTGGCGTCGATTTACGTTCTATTCAACCTTATGTTGACTCTTTTAAAAGAGGTGCACCACCACATGCTGGTGGCGGTATTGGTAAATTTATTTTTCTAAAATTAGATTGCAATTTAATGATTCATTTATTTAATCAAAATTCTATATATTTAGGTTTAGAACGAGTGGTAATGCTTTATTTAAATTTAGATGACATACGCAGATGTTCGTTATTCCCTCGTGATCCAAAACGACTTGAACCCTAAAACAAATTAGATTATATAATAATGTTAAATAAATTTGAAATTATAATAGTAAAATAGCCCATTGATATTTTAATTTAAATGTAAATTAAATAAAAGATTCTTATCAAATTTGGTTCATAAATTGTTAATTGGTTTATCTAATAATACGAAATACAGTCGCACCTCCTAAGTGCACACTTGGGCTGTATACCAAACTATTTAGGACGGCCCAAACCAGGTGACAATTAGTATCGCACTAGATATTTACAACTTTTTACTTATCTGTTATTGTCAAAACTATTTGAAACTAATTGTCATATAGTTTGGGTCGTCGCCCTAGTGCACACCTTCTCGGACTTAGTCACCCTCTATATTTTGCACTTGCATAAGATTTCTGATTTCAGATATATAACTATTTTCTTTAAATGCATATTATATCAAAGTTGATAATAGTTGTAAGAATATTTTTTACCTATTCTATGATTTTTATTGATTTTTTATTAATAAGGTTTTGAATTTTAATATTTAGATAAAAAAATTTGAAATTTTTTATCTAAAATAAAAATCATGAAACTTTTAGAATAAATAAAAAATATTCTTGCAAACAATTTTATTTAGAGTATTAATATTTATTAACTTAGTAATATTTTGATTTTAATATGTAATAATGATTATTATTTAATAAAAAAATTTTTAAATTTTAATTAATTATACTTATAAAATTTGGTTAATTAATTTATAAATTCTTTAAATACATATCTTTTCTAAATACATATTTATAGAAGTATATATAATTTAAATAAATATAATTATCTATATCAACTCTTCTTATCAATTCTCTGACTATTTTTTTCTAAAAAAAAAACTCAACTTGTAAAAATACTTTTCTGTTATACAAATAACAATATTCTTTTTTAAGTCTTTTATAATATATTTTTTTTTTTATTTTTTTATTTTTTTTTATATCTTGAGCGATCTTGCCTGTCATTTATTAAGAGAAAGCTAAAAGAAAGCTAAAAACAATCTAATA